AGGAGGAATGGTGGAGACTACCTCCCCATCCTGACCCTTCCAGGGAGGAGGAAGAGGAAGACAATGTAGATTTACAACAGGGGTTTGCAGGAGGTCACAGCTCAGAGGCAGATGAGAGGAAAAGTTGGGAAATAATGGGAGAGGAGGAGCAGAAGGCAAAACCGGAGCGGCAGCTGGCTGACACTTTGTCATTAGAAAGCATTTCAGACCCTCCATCTCCATCTCCCAGAACCTGGCAAACCTTAAAAGTAGGAGAGCAAAGAGCTCAAAGACAGAGGGCATGTAGCAGCACCCATAGAGGAGATGATGATGATGATGAATGAGGAAGTGGGAGAGATGGGGGTGGGGGGGAGATTCACTTGGGACAATGCCATTATCCAAGAGGCTGGGTTCTATAGCCTCTCTCTGTAAGAAACTTTTCCTTGTCTTTATACTTTCCTGGGAAACCAGTCAGGAGCCGCTGACAGCACCCTGACAGCCAGTTAGCTGAAGCTTTGTTCTGGGAAGCTACCAAATATACAGAAGACCAGGTATCGCTGAAGCAGAACTAGCATTGCTTCTGCAAAGATAAGTTCTGTCTCACTAAGCGTTCTTTGAAAGTGTCAACAAGCATATAGATAGAGGCACTGGCGGAGGAAGGGGGTGCGGGGGTGCATTCCACCCCGGATGTTATCCCTGAGGAGGGGTTGACATTGCCGCCCCGCCCTCCTGGGACGCTCGCCGCGCCGCCCCTGTTGATACCCAATTGTTCAAGGTAGTTAAAGCAAAACGGTATTGGGATGAACTCCAAAATGACCTCTCCAAACTGGGTGAATGGACAGTAGAATGACAAATTGAAATTCAGTGCAAATAAGTGGGAAGTGATGTACAGTGGTCTGTAACCTTGGGTTACAGACGGTTCAGGTTACATACGCTTCAGGTTACAGACTCCGCTAACCCAGAAATAGTACCTCGGGTTAAGAACTTTGCTTCAGGATGAGAACAGAAATCGCGCCACGGCGGCGTGGCAGCAGTGGGAGGCCCCATTAGCTAAAGTGGTGTCTCAGGTTAAGAACAGTTTCAGGTTAAGAACAGACCTCCGGAACGAATTAAGTACATAACCAGAGGTACCACCGTACACTGAGCAAAATAAAAATCTCATTTTTTAAATACATGCTCATGAGGTCTGAGAGAATGACTAGGAATAAGACTTTGAGGTTGTAGTGGACAGCTCAATGAAGATGTCAGGTCAGTATGCAGCAGCTGTGGAAAAACCTAAGGAATGTTAGGGATCATTAGGAAAGGAATTTAAAAATAAACCGCTAGTATCATAAATATGCAACTCTATGGTGCAACACATTTGGAATGCAGTGTAAGTTCTGGTCATCTTACACCCTAAAGGGTATTGTACAGCTGGAAAAGGTTCGGAAAAGGGCAACCAGAATTATCAAAGGGTTGGAGCAACTCCCCTATGAGGAAAGGCTACATCATTTGGGACATTTTAGTTTAGTGAAAAGGTGTTTAAGAAGGGACATAGTAAGAGTTGTATAAAATCATGCATGTTGTGGAAAAAGTGTACAGGGAAAATGTTTTGCTCCCTCTCTCGCAATGCTATAACCCACATTTCCCTTTTAGTTCCGAAGCCCAAAGACTCATTAATCAGTATAAAAAGAGTACAGCAAGCAAGTACAAAATTGGTTTTGTTATTGCTGAGTCATCCAACATCTATGTGTAGATGCATTTTGGTCTCAGACATGCAAATATTATATAGATAAGCAACCACCCAATAAAAATCACGGGATACCACAGAAGCAGGCACTCACAAGAGACATCCTGAACATCCAAGCAGAATAGCACACACACCACTGTAATCTTTTGCTAAATATTTAGAAAGTTAAGACTTGTACTCAACAGAAAATCTAATATAAGCAATGAAAAGAGTGCAAACATCACAAGCAACTCCCCTCCCTATGACTTGCTGATAAACTAAATCTTAAATTTATTGTTCCTAGAATTTGCTTTTGCTGAATAACCTCTTCAGACTGCAGCAACAAATGATCCTTTGTTTGGAAGCCTTATGAACCACTTCTGTTAAGTATTCAGCTGGTATTTAAGCTATGCTAGCTGGTGTTCTTTTGCTCAGTGCACAGCTTAGAAGAAAAGGCATCTGGAATCAAAAAGAAACAGCTGATTAAGTGCCCTCTGCCAAGCTTCTGTAATGATGTCTGTAGAGCATAATCTTTCCACAAGCCCCACAGTGCTGTCTGGATTGGGTCTGAATTGGCAGGCGCTGACACAGGAGGAGGAAGAAACAGCTGGGACCATCAGTTGGAGCAGGAGGGATCTCCCCTTTCTGCAACGACTTCAGCTGCTTCAGAAGGGGAAGCAGAGATTCTGGTTCTTCCTCCCCACCCCACCCCAACTTTTCTGCAGTGCACAAAGTCTCTGTGGAGGCTGGGGAGGGCTTGGAGCAGCCATATGGGGGAGTCAGAACCGCAGGAGGCAGCGACTGAACAGGGTTCCAAATAAGAGGGTGCAGTCTTGTCACCTAGAAGCAGACACTGCTTTTGCGGATAGGAACAGGCCCACCCACCCCAAAGCAACACATACAGTGGACCCTCCGGATACGAATTAAATTTGTTCCGGGGGTCCGTTTGCAACCCGTAAAGTCTGTAGGCAGAAGCGCCGCTTCTGTGCATGTGGCGAAACCCGGAAGTATACACTTCTGGGATTGCCGCATTCGTAACCCGAACGTTACGTATCCAGAGCGGTACGTAACTAGAGGGTCCATTATATTTGCAATCCTGTCATTCCCACAAGGCAAGAGATTCTCACCAATGAGCACTCCACGCCTTGTCTTTCAAAGCTTGGTGGGCAGGGCATGGAAACTTGTTTGGACATCTTTGTTGCTTTTGTCCAGTTCTGAGCTTCTTGCCCTGATTGTGGACTCCTGAACCATGACTCCTGAGCCTCTTGTCTGTTGCTGATCTTGTACCGTTATTTGCCTGAATAAAATTTTGTGTAAGACATACACACCCAAACTTACATATTTTGGGCGGGAGCCACAACACTTATTATTTTGATGAACAACCTCCCAACACAGTTTAAAAGATGGTCTTCGAATAACACAAGCATGAGTTCCTGGTTGGCATCAAAGCCAGCTCTCTCCATTGCTACCTTCATTATCCCTTGTATGTTCAATATTTGCTCAATAAGCAAGATTCCCCCTCCCGGGGATGTGGGGGAATCAATAAACAAATTAAATTACAGTTATGAATCTTAACTCTCAGAAAATGGTGAGAGACTCTTTCATTGTTTCTTCCCCTCCTCTTCCTGGCTTCAAGTTAGATCAGCAGGATATTGCTAAATAAAAGCAAATTGTTGCTAAACATAAAACTATAAAGCTCTATTAATAAAAAAGGATACTGCTGCTTGATAAATACATAGGTATGTAGTGATATGGAAAGGGGAAATTACCCTGCTGACAGCAAACACAGCATCTATGGTGAACAAGAAGTATGTCTGATTTATTACTTTTACACTGCATTTCTGTCCAGGGACACACAAAGTGACTTTAGAATCAGAGTTTCAGAGCTGAAAATGACCTTGGCAGGTCACCCCTTCCAATCCCTGCTCAGTGCAGGAATCACAGCATCCCTGACAGATCTCTGTCCAGCAAAGGAGAGAGCAGTACAAACTTTTCCACTTATTTGCACACAGTGAAGTAATATGAATAAAACACAACAGCAGAAACACGATAGTTCAAACCTAAGGCAGGTTAAAAGTCAAATACACAAAACGGAAGCAAAAACCTAAACAACAACAACATAGGTTTCCCAAAACAAAAAAAGATGTCAACAAATGTTTAAATACTTAAAGAGAAGAAACCTAGGAAAACTCAACAGGTTAGAGAGACAGGATGCTGGAACAGATTGGCCAACATCCTGTTCCCCAAAGTGGCCAACTAGCACCTCCAGGAACCCCACAAAATGGGACTTGAAGGCAGTAGTCCTGATTTAGATCAATAGCAATTTGGCCTGTATTTTAAATTCAGAGAATGCATACAGGCAAATGGAGAAAATACCCGTTGGTAGGGTTTTCCTTTACGCATTTAATTCCCTTTTAAATCCATGTATGCAAACTACAGGCCACCACCAAATCTTACAGCAGTGAATCCGTAAGTTAATTACGAGATTTATGAAAGAGTCCTTTGTCTTTCCTCCATCTCCTGCCAGTCAGTTGCACTGGATGACCCTGAATTCTAGTTTGAGTAGTCCAACACAATTACTTGTATTGCGCACAATGCAAATCCAGAATACTAGGTATATTTTGCAGGCCAGATCCTTGGCATCTGATGTTTGTGGGTGGGATTTATTTTGGCAAAGTTGCATTCCAGCATTAATTTACCCTGCTGTGAATTCCGAAAAGCTGCACCTTAAAATATACTTTTCAAAGCCACACAAATTCTGCATTGCTAACATGTTCTGGGTGGTCTGAATCTAAACAAAGCTGTCAGACCCTCATTAGGAAACCCTGAAACACAATTATTTTTAATCACTGGCTGGCAGCAGAGAGGCATGGAGCACTTACTTAAGAGCAATTGGATGCGATGGATTCAAAGCAACATAGATGTTTTAAAACTCTTATGTAAGTTCTGGTCCACAACCAGAACTTGTAGGGTGTTCTGGTCCATTTGTAAGGTGTTACGAGACATTTCTTGCTTTTCCAAGTGACCTGTTCATTCATCCTGATTTACTTGCATAAGGCTCACACTGAGGTTAAATTATATCCAGCCTTTACTGAGCATTTGTTTGCAGGGCAAATTACAGGGCATAATTATCCTTCTGATTCTGCAGTTTTAATGCAGTTATCAGCTCAAAATTTAAATATATTAAATGTGCATTTTGTACAAGTAAATACATTTAGAAATGTGTATATTAAGATAACATACCTATTCAAATACCTATTTTTTCTGATAAAATACTACTTTGAATATGAGTTTTAATGGTTTTTCTTTTTTTAAAATCACTAATGTGAAAACAGGACAGAACTGATTTATGAATGAACATATGCAAAGTCAACACAGCCTGGAGATAGATTGATACACATCCATTCCTACCCAGAACTGAAATTGATGATTACCAGGTGGGCCATTCACCTCTATCATATATGATCAAAACGATATATATATATGGCTAATGGGGCAGGGAATTCTAGGATGATGAGAAACCTTCCACTTTGGTAGGCTGAGTTGTTGGCAGTATTACTTTACTTCTCCCTTTCAAGGGTTCTTTTTAAAGGCTGGAATGATGCTCAGTAAGGAAAGAAGTTAAAAATCCTGCTCTTCTCTTTCACTGTAACAAAATCAATACTGGATGAACTTCAGATCTTCTGTGCTGGATTCTCTGCTGTGCCAAGAATCCCTGAACACCAAATGCAACAGAACAACCTTGCTTTTGTCACCTGAGATGTAGCAACGATCAGCTTCAACCGAAAGCAATTTAGCACCTCAAGTCTATTGCCCAGAAATCCCTGAATGATGAAGGCTTCTTCATCTTCTGTTATCACAGGGTGAGGAAGGAGGAGATTGCCTTGGTTTCTTTTTAACTCATAGTTTTGCAGAGCATGCAGCCTACCAATCGTGAATAAAAGAAAAACTTCAATCAGCAAACACAGGCACCCTGTGGTAACCCTATATACCAATACATTAGGAGATAGTGCTATTGTTTATGTGGCCAAAATTGTTACCCTGTCTGCCCCCCCCCCCCCACATTAGAGGTATCAGCAGAGAGAGAGAGAAGGGGGAGCAGAGATAACTGAATGAATGTTTGGTGTGTGTGTTTCACCATTTTTCTTTTCAATTTTGGCACCCATCTGCCTAGTGGCCCCAGGAAGTTTCATAGAACCATAGAATTGTAGAGTTGGAAATGATCATCTAGTCCAGTTCCCTGTAATGCAGGAATATGCAGCTGTCCCCTACGGGAATCGAACCAGCAACCTTGGCACTATCAGCACCACATCCTAACCAGCTGTGCTATTCAGGCTGATGATGATTTCCCACAAGGGAATTTGCCATTGGCCTGCAAAATGGTTACCCACTGTTTCTCTAGCATGGTGAGATGGCATCTGGCCCAAGTTCACCCAGTGAGCCACAGAACTGGCTGAGAATTTGACTCGGGCCTCCATGTTCTTAATAAATAGTTTAACCTCTACACAACACTGGCTCCTGCATTTTTAGAGTGTTCTTCAACCTTGGGTCCCCAGCCACTGTTTGACTGCAACTCCCATCAACCTGACTATTGGCCAGGCTGGCTGGGGCTGATGGGAGCTGGGAGTCCAACGAGATCTGGAGGGCACATTGGCCAACCCTGCTCTGGCCTATGTTTTTGAGTCCCCCAGAAAGCAGAATATAGCATCTAGCAACATTACAGCCCCAGTACTCCTTCAACTGGTACTGGGCAGGGATCTGGCAGAGCTGAGTCTCTTAGAGGGCCTTTGAGGACGCTGAAGAATATCGAGAGGACTCCTGAAGAGGGCCTGGCATCCTGATGCCTGCTTAGCCCAGAATGTTTAGTACTAGGGAGAAATTGGGGCTGGCAGGTGGCAAGGAGGTGGATGGGGATGTACTATTTTACAGCACATAGATGGCTACTTTATGAGATTGCTACTGAAGTGTCAACACTCAGCAAAGCCTATGGGCTGCAGATACTGCTTGCAGACCAAGAAATATCACTAGCAGATTGCTGGCTGGCTTTGTGATAATACGGTTCGTTGAACACAGGACATACTGTGCATGCAAAAATAACTTTCCCAATTGGAAAAAAAAAATAGGAAATTAAAGGTCTTATTTGTAAAGGCCTGATATTCGTCAACAGATATTGTATGCTGTCACTGCAGAGTCGCCTAGTTTGCAGGGAAAGACAGCATTTGCTTCAGTTGTAGACTGATATTCACTGGACCAAAGACTCATTCGCGTAGAAGTAGGTGGCTGCCTGCTGCACAGGGCAAATGCAACAGGACAGCAGGTTCAGCTTTGCAGCTGGCTAACTAAAATTAAGATTGCTTTGCTCATTAGTAGGGCTAGTGTAAAAATTCATTTCTCTCCAAGATTTTCAGTTAACTTTGACTGCACTTTGATCCAAGGTGGTTTTAAGTTTACGAGCTCGTAAGGCAAGCTTGATTCTGTGCGTGTCCAAGCATTGTTGGTCCTGATAAGTAAGCCTTAAAAGATAATAGATGCTGAACAGAGAGAGAACAGATACTGAAACAGTGTCACAGCATTGTTTAAGTGTGCAGTGTTTGGGGAGAGCTGAAAGGGGAAAGATGAGACACACTCCAACCTCAGACAACTTTGTTTTCCCATCTTTTCTGCTACCCTATTTTGCCAGAGAAGGCAAAATATATTCAGAGTTGAAAATTATTCCCGTCTATCTCTGGATTTTCTTATTCTTTTATGAATAAAAAACACACACACACTCTACCACAGCTGGTCTTGTGGCCAGCATGACTAAATAGCTTCTGGCGGAACGGGACACTGTGACAAGTGCCAGAGTGCATGGAAACATAGTTTTGCCTTCCTGCTGCAGTGTACCTATTTATCTACTTGCACTGGTGTAGTGGCCCAGCTGAGATCTTCCGAGAAAGAGTTAGTCCCAGACTGCTCACTGCTACTTCTTGATGAAACCTTGTGGTAACAGATCTTTCTGAACCTCTACTTTTAAATTCAAATTTAAAGACTAAAGAAATAAGACCACTGTCTTTGGAGAACACCCAGTGAAAAGCTTTATGTAATGACATACTACTTTAAAGGACAACAGTGGGAGGGTTCATCCATAAAAGATAGAGGGGGAAACTAGTTAGGCAGTGTACACAATTTGACCTTAAGGCTCATTCTTCCCCTCCAAGAATTATGAGTGCCATAGTTTGTTAAGGGTTGATGGGAACTGTAACTCTGTGGAGGTAAACTACAGTGCTCAAAATTATTTGAGGGGGGAATGTACTTCAAATGTGCTTTAAAGGCACGATGTGTACACAGCCTTAAGGTAAAGGTAAAGGGACCCCTGACCATTAGGTCCGGTCGTGACCGACTCTGGGGTTGCGGCGCTCATCTCGCTTTATTGGCCGAGGGAGCCGGCGTACAACTTCTGGGTCATGTGGCCAGCATGACAAAGCCGCTTCTGGCGAACCAGAGCAGTACACGGAAACACCGTTTACCTTCCTGCTGGAGCAGTACCTATTTATCTACTTGCACTTTGACGTGCTTTCAAACTGCTAGGTTGGCAGGAGCAGGGACCGAGCAATGGGAGCTCACCCCGTCGCGGGGATTCGAACCACTGACCTTCTGATCGGCAAGTCCTAGGCTCTGTGGTTTAACCCACAGCGCCACCCACGTCCCTTGTACACAGCCTAGGTTTCAGCAAATCTCAGTTAAAATTAGCCATAATTTGCAGCATTCAGAAAACACAAGCCCATGGTAATCAAAAACAGAAGTGAAAGCCTGCAATCTCTGTCCCTGTATAGCGATAGCCTGGCCATGGGTAATTCATGCTCTGGTAACCTCCAAGATAGATTACTATAATGTGCTCTGCACAGGGCCGCTCTTGAACACTGTCCAGAAATTGGATGTAGTGCAAAATGCTGCAGCAAAAATGCTAGCAGCAGCAGCAGGCCATGAGCATCTTAACCTGATCTTAAAAACAGCTACAGTGTTTGCTAATTGTTTTCTAGGCCCAATTCAAGGTCATAAAACCTCCTAAGTTTTAATCCTATTATTTTCTGCATGCAAAGCACAGAGTCTTCCTAGAGGCTCCCTGGGTACTGATGTTTTGAGGAAGCAAAGTCAATACAAGCCGGTTTGTTAATTGGCAGCTCATCTGCTATTGCATTATTGGAAAAGTAATATTGAGCAATCAATGGCATGCATCTGGATAACCTTTGTGGGAGGCCCTTGTCATCATTTCAATTACATAACAGCCATTGCAATGCCTTTCCCCCTATCAATAGTTTTAAAAATGTCAAACTGGGCACCTAGCATCAATATAGATAGCAAGGATGGAGAAAGCCGGCGCTAGGAGCTATAAATGTGGAGCGCTAAGAATATGCTCCCAACATCCATTGGGAAATAAGAGATAAATGGATGTACATTAAGGGCAAACGAAGTTCATGGTATTTCAATGAACACGTCAAATGGACCAAGTCAATATTTCTGGAGACCAGAGAAAAGACTCACTGTAATCCTAAAAGGGAAGGCACATTAGATACGTCAATATAATTATACTATGAATTATATTCCTTGTCATACATGACCAAGAAATATTTCCCAAGTAATGAATTTGGGAGTTAGGGGGCAACATGGTGGGAGATCCATGGTCCATTCCACAACCCACTGCCTGCATTTCTCTGGCTCTGGGAAAGAAGGGATGGAGTAGTAAAACCAATATTGTGGTTTGAGAACAAGCCAGAAAATGAATCTTTGTCTGACCCTTCACGGCCTAGGACCCTCGTACCTAAGGGACCGCCTCTCCCGGTATGCCCCACGGAGAGTCTCAAGGTCCATAAATAGCAACACCCTAGTGGTCCCGGGCCCTAAGGAAGTTAGATTAGCCTCAACCAGAGCCAGGGCCTTTTCAACTCTGGCTCCAGCCTGGTGGAACGCTCTGCCTCATGAGACCAGGGCCCTGCAGGATCTGATTTCTTTCCGCAGGGCCTGTAAGACAGAGTTGTTCCGCCTGGCCTTTGGCTTGGAGCCAATTTGATTCCCTCCCCTCTTTCTTTTTTCTTTTCTTTTCTCCTCCTGCAATGAGGCTACATTTTAATATTTTAATGTTTCAATATTTTAATGTTGTATTTTAATTTTGTTCTTAAGTTGTATTCATTCAACTTGCTTTTATTATTGCTTGTTAGCAGCCCTGAGCCCAGCCTTGGGTGGGTAGGGCAGGTTATAAATAAAAATTATTATTATTATTATTATTATCCCAGGTTGTTCTCTTTAACCATAGTTAAGGTTAAGCAAACCAAAGGTTTCCAAATATGGATCCCACTGGACTACTGTAGTTTGCCTACAACTTCCAATATCCCTTTCACATCCACAAAAGACAAGGAGAGGAGGAGGTGTATGCAAGCCTTGTTCTCACTGGAGCTCATTCACATAACTTGAAACCAGAATTTTCCATTACTTCTGCACCAGACCGGAAAGAAACGTAGGGAGAGAATGAGTTATTTACACAACTTTTGGGACAAAGAGGAAACCATTTCCTCCTGATATATACACATAACATAAACTTTAGGAGGGACTTTCTGACAGCAGGAGCTGTTCAACAGTGGAACGAAATAACTCGAACGGTGGCGGACTCTCCTTCATTGCAGGATTTTAAGCAGAGGTTGGGTGGCCATCTCTCAGGGATTCCTTAGCTGTGATGAACCTTGGGATCCCTTCCAACTCTACCATTCTAAGTTCTGCACAGAAGTAATTACTGTGTGATATCCCTATGTTAGGTAAGCCTCAGCTGAAAAATAATTGCCACAGATAAAGGGCAAACACTACAACACATGAGAGACAGTTTTAGGCACCCCTTAAGTCTGAAGCTGGCCTTATAACTTAACACTTTGACAAAAGCCATATTTTTCCTGCTGTAATAAGTACAGTAGTACCTCGGGTTAAGTACTTAATTCGTTCTGGAGGTCTGTTATTAGCCTGAAACTGTTCTTAACCTGAAGCACCACTTTAGCTTATGGGGCCTCCTGCTGCTGCCGTGCCGCCAGAGCCCGATTTCTGTTCTCATCCTGAAGCAAAGTTCGTAACCCGAGGTATTATTTCTGGGTTAGCGGAGTCTGTAACCTGAAGCATCTGTAACCCCAGGTACCACTGTATTGCTATTAAAGATAGGAGATAAGACCTGGTTTGAAATAATGGCTTTTTTAAAAAAGCATTTCTTAAGCACAGGTCTACTATAGGAAAAGGGGAGAAAAGTATCTGCAACTCGCTTGATCAATCAAGTGTGCAAAAGCTTCATTTATGTCTGCAGCAGGTTGTGGGGAGGGAACTTAGCATTTGCTACACCTACACAGAAAGACACGCATGCACAAAAACACCAAGCTTTTATCTTAGCAAATGAAAACCATTTGTATAAAATGCCTAGTTAATAATAGCGTACTGTACAACATTACAGCTGGCAACTGCTGACACCGGCAAGCGAGGTCTCTACTAGAATCTTAACAGCCTTTGATTGACAGCTAGAATTCCTAACCAGGCTCAGGGGAAGGAGAAAAAAGGATGATTTGTAAAAATAGAAAGTCTCGCAATACTGGAAAATGTTTGATTTGCTCTTTCTGGCTTTAAGAGCAAATCGTCAATGTGTCCAGTGTCACTTCCATCTAGTTTAGAAAGGTGAAGGTCCTTCCTTCCTCTGCTGCAACAGAACCATCCATCTATTAATGAGGAGTGGTGGGGTACAGGTTCCTAAATCTTCGGCTGTGACAACATGCCAAAAGGTTATAAACAGCTTATCTACTTTGTTCTATACCTCATGTGCTAATGTGAGAATGGATTACAGAATGGTACTTGGATGAGTATGTGTGTTTGTGTTTGTGTAAAGGTAACTGAATAAAAGGAGAAAGTGTGTTACACACACATAGCTTATGAAAAAGAGGGTGATGCGTGTGATTTCTGATGTACGTAACCAAACAAGAACTATACTTTCTTTTAAGAGAATGGGAAAGGGAGTAAAAAAGTTCAGATCACAAACACTGTTGTTGCAGCAGCTGGAAACGGTATACCAGGGAATCACCAGTGTTGCTCCCATAGCTGCAAGGGTGTCCTTGAAGCATCTGAGGCTCCCCACTCATTGCCCCATTGATCATAAGGTGATAAGGATAGTTGCCTCTTGTCCCCTGAAAAGTACATAGAGCAGAAGTAGGAAATTGGAAGAGTGACACACCTGTTTCAGCTCTATGTGCTTTTAAAAGATCCAGATTAATTGCATGCACCTTCTCTCTTTCTGTCTTGGGGGAAAAGAAGTGATCAGAGGGTGGGCTGCCTATACCCCGTTGAAATATCCATGTCTTTAAAAAATATTGTGACCCTTTGCAATAGACCATTGTTTGAAAGGTTTCTTTGCTTAGGTACTTCTGGGTTGCCTATGCAGAACCCCAATAAAGGTCTCCTTTTGATGTTTATCAAAACCTTAAGTTACATTGAAACTGTGATTGCTTTAACTTGAGAGCAAAGCAAAGCAAATCTGTTACAGATTTGTGAGTCAGGTTTCTATTTCCATTAGGTTACTTGTCCCAGTACTGAAGACACATGCAGTTCAGAGCCCTCACATCTTGGTCACCATTGCTCAGATGGAGGAGGAGTTTGGATTTGATATCCCGCCTTTCACTCCCTTTAAGGAGTCTCAAAGCGGCTAACATTCTCCTTTCCCTTCCTCCCCCACAACAAACACTCTGTGAGGTGAGTGGGGCTGAGAGACTTCAAAGAAGTGTGACTGGCCCAAGGTCACCCAGCAGCTGAATGTGGAGGAGCGGAACCCGGTTCCCCAGATTACGAGACTACCGCTCTTAACCACTACACCACACTGGCTCTCATAGATTGCTGCTATGTCTGACAAAGAAGCAGCATTAGTGTCTGAAAGAACACTAAGGCAGGATATTCCCTGCAGTCATCCGCTCTCATCTTTCGCTAGTGGTAGTAAAGCAAGACTCTTTACTACAGCTGCAGAAGCCAACAATCATATGCAATGTTCCCAGTTCTGGAGCTCTTAAACTTGC